TTGCCCTGTTCATTATAGAATCCAGACCTTATAATTTAAAAACCTTTTTAATATGAAACACTTCAACCCTAAAGAAAAATCGAAAGAATAGTAAAATAAACATCAGCATACTCCTCCATTGTTAAAATGTTGCTGTTTTTGCTTATATTTGCTCCATCTATAAACATTTTTTTTCTCTGAGTTATTTGCAGGGTACAAACCTCGTGACCATTATAAATACTATAGTATGCATCTCTTAATATTCTTGGCCAAGCATGGTAGCCCATGCCTGTAATCCTAACACTTTGGGAGGCCAAGGCAAGAGGATTGTTTGAACTCAGGAGTTTGACACCAGCCTGGGTAACGTAGTGAGACTTCATCTCTATAATTAAAAAAAAAAAAAAGATTAAAAATAAAAAAGAGGGTCCAGGCATGGTGGCTTATGCCTGTAATCTCAGCACTTTGGGAGGACGAGGCAGGTGGATCACCTGAGGTCAGGAGTCCGAGTCTAGCGTGGGTAACATGGTGAAACCCAGCCTCTACTAAAAATACAAAAATTAGCTGAGGATGGTGGCACACGCCTGTAATCCCAGCTACTCTGGAAGCTGAGGCAGGAGAATTGCTTGAACCTGGGAGGGGTAGGTTGCAGGGAGTGGAGATCGTGCCACTGTTCACCAGCCTGGGTGACAGAGTGAGACTCTGTCTCAGAATAAATAAATAAAATAAAAAGAGGAAGAATATTCTCCCATATTCCTATAATACTATGATTATACTCAGAAAATGAACAAAAATTCCCTGATATCTTACATTGGGTTTGTATTAAAATCCCGTTAAGTAGCCCCAAATGCGCTGTCAGTTTATCTGGCCAGTCAAGGATCACATATTCCATGTGGTTTTGTACTTTAATGTAAGTTACTACCCACCCCAGTACCATTTTATCCCATGATACTGACTACTTGAAGAGACTAGACCCGTTGTCTTGTAGAATATCTAGATACTGGTTTGTTAAATTATTTCCTTGCGGTGTCATTTAATTTGTTTTTCTATGAAGCTCTGTTTCCTGTAACCTGGAAATTAGATCTAGAAGTTTGATTAGTTTCAGGGTAAATGCTTTTGGCAAGAATCGGTGGTTTTATAAACTTCATCTTGCATCACATCAGGAGATGTACAAGGTCAGGGTACCTGATGTGGGTGACACTAAACTTAATCATTTTATAAGGTGGGGACCGCCAGCTGTGTCCGATTTATGACACTCCGAGGTTGACACTGTGGAACAAGCACTCCCGACACACCCACTGATCGTCAGTTATTGGCTGGGGAATGGGTGGGCTTGGCTGCCCCAAAAGAGAAAAAAATAGATGAGGTTGGGTTGGGGATGGTGGAGGTGGAGTTGCAAAAATGTTGATTTCCTAAGGCTGCTGTCCCTTCTCTGTGTCCAACTGCCTGCCATGCTTCTGTAAAAGAGTGCTTTCCCTCATCACCTAGTGATGACTGTGGCCATTCTAAAGTGTCAAGATGAATGTTTAATTACAAATTTTTAGGGTGTGGAGTTGGCATAACATTCTTTTCTAATGGCAAATGAATTTTTCTGAGTGTCAGTATGGACTAATGGATTTTTATGTATTCATGGCTTCCAATCAGTTACACTAATTGTTCTTTTTTATTTGAGACGGAGTCTCCCTCTGTCTCCCAGGCTAGAGCACAGTGGTGCGATCTCACCTCACTGCAACCTCTGCCTCCCAGGTTCAAGAGATTCTCGTGCTTCAGCTTCCTGAGTAGCTGGAATTACAGACGTGTGCCACCATGTCCCACTGATTTTTTGTAGTTTTAGCACAGACAGCATTTTGACATGTTGGCCAGGCTGGTCTCAAACTCCTGGCCTTAAGTGATCCACCCGCCTCAGCCTCCCAAAGTGCTGGGATCACAGATGTGAGCTACCACGCTAGGCCTAATTGTTCTTTTGATGCCCACATTGTCCCAAGTTTGGCCAGCAGGAGCCCCTCGAAGCTGGTTCTTGGGGCTTTGCTTCCTGGTACACGCAGATGTCCCAGGCTCCCCTGTTACTTATTCCTCAAATCTGGAATTAACCATTTCTCCAAGGAGATCTGATTCCTTTTATTGCAGGATGGTGTTTAAAACAATAATATGGGTGTAGCATGCTCATTGCTACTGGGGTGTCAATGATTCTAGGCCCTTTCAGCAGATAGTAGCTAGGAAATATATATTTTTAAAAATCCTGAGTTCATAATGACTTCTATATTAATTTTAACATTAGAGGTTTTTTATTATCTTCTTTTATTTTCTATCTTTATCTTTTGCACTGGAAATCTTGGTTACTGATTAGGAACATTAATATAATCACTTGTTTGCTTTACTCTACCATATCACGTAAGATAGTTTGAAAATCCTGAGCCCAATGTTGCTACCAATGGAACAGCTACTGAGTAAAGTTTAAGCTTTTTTTTTTTTTTTTTTTTTTTTTTGTGGTTCTCTTTTTCCTTACATGATATCCCACTAATGTTGGACAGCCAGAACACTGGGTGCTAATATTACTTGAAATGAATCTTTCCTCTGTGTGGTCATATTCTTGTTTGTTATATGGTTGGATTTGTTTGTTTCAGTGTTTTGTTTATTTTTTAATTATAGGATCTGCTTTTTTTCCCTTGTGATTTAATTGTATATTTTGACCGTATCAAACATTTACAAGGTACAAAAGTCAAACTGTGTAACAACATATTCCAGAGAATCTTGCTTTCCCGCTCCACGTACAGTTTCTCCCTCCCTTTTTGGGAAATCATTCTTTCGTTAGCTTCTGGTATATCCTTTCAGTGTTTTCTTTTGCAAAAATAAGAATATTCTGCTATTCCTCCACCAGGAATGCCTATCCTTGTGATTTTTAAAGTGTTCATAACAGTCCCATTTTTTTGATTGATTCCAACCCCTGTGGTATTTCCTCTGTAGAGATTTCTCTAATCCTTGGAACATCATCAAGTTCTCTCTCCTTTTCTCAATCCTAGAGCATTCCTTATCTCCATTTCCTGTGCTCTATCCATCTATTTGGGGGTCTTAATTATATACCATTGTGCATTGTTGTGATTTAAATTTGCTCATGTCTTGTCTCTCAGTGTCTTGTTTCTGCCTGTTCCTTGAGGGTGGGATAATGGTCAGACTTCTTTTGCATTTCTCCACAATGTCCAAAAAAAAAGCCTGGGCATAGAGTAATAGGTAATAGATTCAGTCAATTCTTTTTAAAAAGTTTTTGACACAGACTCTTCCTCTGTTGCTCAGACTGGAGTACAGTGGCACAATCTTAGCTCAATGTAACCTCTGACCCTTGGGTTCAAGTGATTCTCCTGCCTCAGCCTCCTGAGTAGCTGGGATTATAGGTGTGCACCACCATGCCTGGCTAATTTTTGTATTTTTAGTAGAGACGGGGCTTCACCATTTTGGCCAGGCTGGTCTCGGACTCCTGACCTCAGGGGACCCACCCACCTCAACCTCCCGAAGTGCCGGATTAAAGGAGTGAGCCACCGTGCCGGACCTCAGTGGATTCTTGTTATTGATAGTGTTCCATAAAGCCACTGTGAGTAATGAATTAGGAATACTGACTCTTTTGCTTGTAGGGAGAATATGGGGTTAGCTTCCTGTGAGCTTCTAGTCACAAAATTTTCATTCACTAATTAAATTAATACATAACTGTGTTTTGTGAATGTTTCCGTGTAAATACACCTTAATATATATATAATTTTTTTTTTTTTTTTTGAGATGGAGTCTTGCTCTGTCGCCCAGGCTGGAGTGCAGTGGTGCGATCTCGGCTCACCATAGCCTCCGCCTCCTGGGTTGAAGCGATTCTTCTGCTTCGGCATCCCGAGTAGCTGGGGTTACAGGCACCCACCACCACAACCAGCTAATTTTTTTAAAAAATGTTTTTGGTAGAGACGGGGTTTCACTGTGTTGGCCAGGCTGGTCTCGAACTACTGACCTCAAGTGATCCACCTGCCTCGGCCTCCCAGAGTGCTGAGATTATAGGCAGGAGCCATGGTGCCTGGCCTTAACACATACATTTTCTCTGTAAAGCTCATCAAAGCCTTTGAGTGCTTAGGAACACTGCACAGCACTTAGGTACTACATCTGGGGGCCATTTTCCACAGTGAAACCACCAACATGAAACACAAAAATGCAAAGCCGTGGCTCTAAATAGACTGTGTGGACATTTGTTTACAGTGTGATATGAGAGCTGAAACCAGAAGGGAGAGGGTCACCTTGTTCAGTGTCTACTGAGAATGTGTGCATCAAAGCAACACAAACTTTTTCCAGGTCTGCCCATATCCGTGAATGACCCTAAATGGCCTCAGGTCTTGATTCTGGGATTAAAAAACTACAACATTAGTAACTAGGCACACTGGAAATGTAGAACCTTTGAATAAATAAGATTGACTGAATTTGTTGGATTAAATCCATTTGAATGGGTTGTACAACCCTGGACTACTTGTGTTACTTCTCTGGGTTTCATTTTCCTGAAACCCAGAAATCCTATTTCCTTTTTTTCTTTTTTCTTTCTTTCTTTCTTTCTTTTTTTTTTTTTTTTTTTGAGATAGAGCCTTGTTCTGTCACCCAGGCTGGAGTGCAGTGGCGCAATCTTGACTCTCTACAACCTCTGCTTCCCGGGTTCAAGCGATTCTCCTGCCTCAGCCTCCTGAGTAGCTGGGATTACAGGCTTGGGCTACTGCACCCAGCTAATTTTTATGTTTTTAGTAGAGACGGGGTTTCACCATGTTGGCCAGGCTGGTCTTGTACTCCTGACCTCAGGCGATCCTCCCACCTCGGCCTCCCAAAGTGCTGGGATTACAGGTGTGAGCCACCATGCATGGCCAGAAATCCCATTTTCTGACCTGTCCCATGACTGGGTGATCTTTGATCTTTGAGCACTGGCATCCCGGGAACTGCATGGGCATTGCCTTTTCTCTTGCTGTCGCCTCCTGTGATTGGTGCGGTCCTGACCACTGTTCCTTTCCATGCAGGTTTGTGGATTTCCATGCAGCTGCCTCCACCTGCTCACCCTCCCGGGCTTCCTTGCTCACTGGCCGGCTTGGCCTTCGCAATGGAGTCACGCACAACTTTGCAGTCACCTCTGTGGGAGGCCTTCCACTCAACGAGACCACCTTGGCAGAGGTGCTGCAGCAGGCGGGTTACGTCACTGGGATGATAGGTAATTCTGGGCGCCGTCGGCCGGTTGCATTTCCTGCAGTGGCAGCTGCCTTGTGTTCGCAAATCCCCGACATGCTGCCTGTCTGCTTTCCTGTTCATGTCTGCTGTGTGAGTTAGGGGTGCTCTCAGCTATGAGGAACTGAAAAGACCTAACAGTGGATTAAAACATGCATGGAGCTATTTTCCTCCCATCACAGCAAGTTTCCAAGTAAGTGGTTGCTTTCATTAGCTCAGCTGCTCAAAGATGCTGCCGAGAGCCAGGCGCTGTCACTCTGCCATCCTTAGCATGTTGGTGTTTGGTGTTTGTCCTCATGCTTGCTGCCTCATGACTGCCATTCAGCAACTTCGGGCCCCTGAACCAGGAAGGAAGTAGAGAAGGGAGGAGGCTCAGCTCCGCTCCCACCCCAAGATTCTCACTTACATCTTATTGGCTAGAGCTGGGTCTTTTGGCCATGCCTTGCTGCTGCACTCCCAGATTGAGAAACTGAGGACAGCAGTGACTGACTTGAACTTGGGCATGCTAATCTTCCACACTTTGAACAAAGCCACAGTATTATTAGCAGGATACATGGGGGCATGGGCATTGGTGGGGGACCAGCAGCGTCTGCCACATTGTCCAATGACTTCCTCTCCTTTAAAACAGTTTTTTTTTTTTTTTTTTAGGCATCTCTTACTCAGCATTTATTATGTGCTAGGCATCAGGTTAAATGTTTATTGGCATGAAGATTATTATTTCCCCCATTGTAGTGGCAAGAGAACTGAGTTTCAGGCTGGTGAAGAGAAGTTGCCTAACCTGGAGGGGTGGAGGCCAGGTCTAGACAGGTGTATCTGTTCCCAGCCTTGCCCTGATGCTCCGCCTCACTGCCGATCTCCCCTCCAGGAACCCAGTATTCCCAGAAGCATCCTCAGCTGCCTGCGTTTGTTAGCCTAACTCTCAAAGAGCTGGACCCTTTGGGATCCCTGCCTCTCTCCACCATGCAGGAAATTGCAAGGGAGGGTGCGACCACAAGCCGTTGGCCCTTGTGTGTCTTGGGTGTCTGAACTGTGTGAACCTGTGGGACGTTCTTCCACCCAGGGCTGGTGCTTCTGGTATTGGCCCTCTTGTCCCACTCTGGGTTAAAGAGCCTGACATCCTTTTATATAAGCTCAACCTGGAGTTCAGCATTCCTTATCTCAGGAGGGGATGTCCCAGGCTGTAGGAAAGACCAATTAACGTCCAACCCTTCTCTTTTTCCAATCCCTTTCTTTCCATACCCCAAGGAGTTATTATGTTAACAACATCAACACCAAGACACCATTTGTGAAACTCCCCCTGTGGGCTGACTTTCCCAACTAGGCCAGTTACATGCATCCGCGTAAACCTCACAGCCGGCTGAACGAGGTGGCTCAAACCTGTAAGCCCAGCACTTTAGGAGACTGAGGTGGGAGGATCCCTTAAGCCCTGGAGTTCGAGACCCACCCGGGCCATAGTGAGACCCTGTATCTAAAAATAAGTAAACAAATAATAAATCTCATAGCCAGGAAGGGTTTGGTCTCAGGGCAGTCCCAGATTCAGTCCTTATGCTGCAGTAGGGGGTCTGGCGTCTCCTGGAGCTGGATTTGTTCTCATGCCCCTCCCTCTTCATGAATTTAAACTCTAAGTAACCAACTGTTTGCAGCTTGACTGTTTAGCTGCCATTTCTCACCCCCTCACCACTCACAATACCTTTTGCATGTCCTGGACAGGATATTTAAGCATACCCACCTGTTGAAATTAGGAAATAAAGCACACTTTTATGAAAAATTAAAGACCCACCAAAGGAATATCAGATCCATTTATAACACTCCCACAGTTTTTTTTTTTTTTTTTGAAATGGAGTCTCATTTTGTCACCTAGGCTGGAGTGCAGTGGCATGATCTCAGCTCACTGCAACCTCTGCCTCCTGGGTTCAGGCAATCCTCCTGCTCAGCTTCCTGAGTAGCTGGGATTAGAGGTACATGCTACCACACCTGGCTAATTTTTATATTTTTAGTAGAGATAAGGTTCCACCATGTTGCCCAGGCTGGTCTTGAACTCCTGACCTCGTGATCCACCTACCTCAGCCTCCCAAAGTGCTGGGATTATAGACGTGAGCCACTGCCCCCGGCGTCACACTTTGCTTCTATTCTGGGTCCATGTTTATGTGTTTTTGCCTGGTTATGCACATATCACTAGGCTCCACTTTTTCCCCCTTCACGTTATTCTATGTTTTCATGTAATATAATTTTACATATTATATTTTTTATGATTAAACAATAATTTTCAGAATTCTAATATGTCATATTCCCATGTAATGTTTAATCGAAGTATTCCACATAATGCTTAATCCATTTCTCTCAATTTGTTTGTTTGTTTGTTTGAGACAAAGTCTCACTCTGTCGCCCAGGCAGGAGTGCAGTGGCATGATCTTTCTCACTGCAACCTCCACCTCCTGGGTTCAAATGATTCTCCTTCCTCAGCCTCCTGAGTAGTCAGGATGACAGGTGTGCACCACCACACCTCGCTAAGTTTTGTATTTTTAGTAGAGATGGGGTTTTGCCACATTGCCAAGGCTAGTCACAAACTCTTGGCCTCATGTGCTCTGCCTGCTTTGGCCTCCCAAAGTACTGGGATTACAAGCATGAGACACTCAATTGACAGCCCATTTCTCTCCATTTTTTATTAATCTTTTTCTCAATCCTATAGAGCAGTTGCAGGGAGGGAATAATGGGCTCCCATGGGCTTTTCGTCCAGCTTCACCGATTCTTAATTTTTGCTACATGCATTTGTCTTGAAAAATAGTCTGATAATAGCTTATGAAGCCACATCAGATAATGTACTTAGACATACTCCTGTGGTTGCCTGTCAGTCTCTCTCCTTTTAGTGGTTTAATGCTGCCAGCATCTCGATCTTTGTACCACATTCTTTTCTTTGCCCCCTCACCATGGGGGTGACGTCCCTGGGGTCTACTCCTCAGAGCGGAAGAGCAGATCAGAGAGTTCTGACACTGTCAGAACTCTGGCCACACATTACCCAATTATTCCCCTGGATTGAACGCAGTGGCAGAACGAGGAGCAGCAGGCATCTGAGTTTCCTCATTTGCTGCCCTGTAGGTGTCTTGGTGCTTGAACTGCGGGCTGCCGATGTTGGCCATAGAGGAAGATGATGAAACCAGGCAGGAGGCGAGCATTTCTGAGAGCACGTGGGGAGGTGCACCTGCACCCTGGGCTGCCTGGTGCCTTTGCAGGGCCCCAGTGCAGGAGGGCGAAGTAGAGGGGGTGATGGCCCATGCGGGGTTGCTGTGTCTGCGGAGCCCTCTTTGAGGGGCAGAGGTGCAGCCTGCTGGCTTCTCTGGGCTCCTGGTGATGGCCCGTCTTCCCCTTTCACTGTGGTTTCCTGTGTGACTCTGGAGTCATCCCTTATGTGTCCCTGTGGACACCATCTCGGCCCCAGAGAGCAAAGCTTGGCTTGTACACTGCAAAAAGAGGACAGCCTCTCTTCGCTTGTCCACAGCACAAGGTAAAGCCGATGAAGAGTGGAGTGTGTGATTAGCTCCTCAGGGGGTCGTGGTACCCCTAGGGGGATTCCTCTGAAAATCTCTTTTGTTTTCCTACAGGCAAATGGCATCTTGGGCACCACGGCTCATATCACCCCAACTTCCGTGGTAAGAATTCTTTTGGAGATTTGTTACCTGGGAAATGGAGAATAAAGGTCTCTGTGTGAGATTCCGTGAACAGCTAAGCCATCCTGTCTCTGGGGGCAACCTTGAGTTAGGACATCTTTGTCAACAAGGTCATTTGGGTGCATTTGGGGTGCCAGGGCTCCCCCAGGACCTTACACCCCACTAGGTGGCACCTTCCCTAGCTCCGCTTCCTTGGTGCCCGTTTGCCCTTCCAGCTGCCCCCTCACAGGCCCATCAGCTTTTTGGCCATCTCCCTGTTCTTTACACCTCAGGGAAACTTCCGCGCATGAGGTCCACACTTGGCTAATCCGGGAAGAAGTATAAACTGACTGACGGGTTCACCGAAGCGGGAAACCTGGCCATAGACCCAAGCAGGAGATGCTGCCTCTTGGCCTCTTCCTGCAGCCTTCGCTTCCTCGCCCTCTGGCCTTGGGGAAATAGGCCAAGATCAAGCTGCCAAAGCTGGTTCTCTGAAAATCACTTTGCTGAAGGGCGGAATCTCCAAACGTTCAATTCACTAAATTATTGATGGTTTTTCAAAGTTGCAATTCGTGCCACTGCTCCTTCCCTGACCTCTTCCATTTCCTATGGGAAGCCATGGACTTTCTCCTAAAGGCAGTCAGCTTTGGTGGCTTCTCCTGTCCCTGGCCCTACACTGGGTCCCCTTCATCTCCTGCCATTTTATAAGCCAATGTGCTTCTCTGTTCTGCAGACTTCTCCCCTCCCTGGCCCCAATAGCTCTCCCTGTCACTGTGGAAAAGGGCTGAATTGTTCTGCCCTAGACCTGGTGGAAGGTTTGCATCTGAAGGTTTTTGCATTTGGTGAATGATTTTCAGAGGGTTGGCCTGGAGCGCGCCTTCCGCAGGGGCCCCAGTGGTCAGTAGCCCCACTGGCTGACATCTTCAGTGCTTACCTCCCCTTTGATGCCCATTCCTCTGCCTCTCCTCCCTAGAGCCCCTTTTCCCAATTGGGCATTCATGGCATTGTCCGTATACGCCTTTATAAAAATGCAGATGGGGCAAGTGAAGACCTGGCTTTTGCACTCGCCAAAAATTTCTGCACAACTTATTTCCTCCTTGGTCTTCAGTTTTCTCACTTGGCAATTGAGGGGTTGGACCAGATCAGGTATTGGCACCTAGAGGGCATATTCCTATGCTGAGGGGATACTGAGGCCAGCTTCTATGCAGCTGGAAGTGGTGCTATGAAGGACCTGGTGTTTGCTGTGGGTGCAGGAAACGGGAAGAAAGAGTATCTCCTACTTAGCTGCTGTCTTTAGACCCGGCAATTCCAAAAAGCCCTCTGGCATGGACATGCTGAGGTTTTCTCATGCTCACGGACAAGTGCACTCCTCTTCCCTCCGGCCTCTTACATCTTCCCTGTGGTGCACTGCCCAGGTCCTCACCAGCTTCCTGGCTTCCCCTTGGCACAGGCCCTGGGTCGTGCCAAGTGCACTCACACATTCCTTCTAAGCACCCAGGCTCCTCTTGCTGCCCTGGGCTATTCCTCAGGTCAGGGCTTCTGCAAACACAGCGAGGCCTTTCTAACACTGGGGTATGAGGATGTCTGTGATCTAGCTCAGTGTCTGGGATGGACTGTGGTCCAAATCCAGTATGCTGCCTGATTTTGTAAACAAAATTTTGTTAGAAAACAGCCAGGCCGCAGGCCGGGCTCGGTGGCTCAAGCCTGTAATCCCAGCACTTTGGGAGGCTGAGGCAGGCGGATCACGAGGTCAAGAGATCGAGACCATCCTGGTCAACATGGTGAAACCCCGTCTCTACTAAAAATACAAAAAAAAAATTAGCTGGGCATGGTGGCGTGTGCCTGTAATCCCAGCTACTCAGGAGGCTGAGGCAGGAGAATTGCCTGAACCCAGGAGGCGGAGGTTGCGGTGAGCCGAGATCGTGCCATTGCACTCCAGCCTGGGTAACAAGAGCGAAACTCCGTCTCAAAAGAAAAAAAAAAAAAACAAAAAAAAACAGCCAGGCCGGGCATAGTGGCCCATGCCTGTAATCCCAGCATTTTGGGAGGCTGAGGAGGGTGGATCACCTGAGGTCAGGAGTTTGAGACAAGCCTGGCCAACATGGTGAACCCCTGTCATTACTAAAAAAAATACAAAATTAGCTGGGATGGTGGTACGTGCCTGTAATCCCAGCTACTTGAGAGGCTGAGGCGGGGGAATCGCTCGAACTCAGGAGGTAGAGGTTGCAGCAAGCTGAGATTGTGCCACTGCACTCCAGTCTGGGTGACAAAACAGAAACTCTGTCTCAAATAAAAAATAAAGAAGAAGAAATAAAAAAAAGCTGAGTGGCCTTAACAGAGACCATCTGACCCACAAAACCTAAGATGTTTACTATTTGGCCCTTTCCAGAAGAAGTTTGCTGTCCCTCATGGAGACTCATCCTGATACTGGATGCAATGACATTTCAGAGCCATGTTGTGTACCTAGGGGGTAGCCAAATCCATTTGTACAAACCAAGTTAGCATGAAGGTATCAACTTAAAAAAAATATATATGACAAGCAGGCTGGGCGTGGTGGCTCACGCCTGTCATCCCAGCACTTTGGGAGTCCAAAGCGGGTGGATCACTTGAGGTCAGGAGTTTGAGACTAGCCTGGCCAACATGCTGAAACTCTGTCTCTACAAAAATACAAAAATTAGCTGGGCATGGTGGCAGGTGCCTGTAGTCCCAGCTATTTGGGAGGCTGAGGCATGAGAATTGCTTGAATTCGGGAGGTGGAGGTTGCAGTGAACTGAGATCAAGCCACTGTACTCCAGCCTGGGAGACAGTGAGAATCTGACTCGGAAAGAAAAAAAAAAAAAAAAAAAAAAAAAAAAATATATATATATATATATATACATTTCCTAGTTATCCTACATACACCACACATTGGGTTGGCCAAGATCTAATGTTTAACTGAAGGAGTGCATCACTAATGGGGAAGGCAGTATTACCCAGATGGTAGAAAGTCTGTAGGCTACACTGGGAGAATGAGTTGAACGCAGGGTCGTGACAGGTGGGATGCAGTGAGGAGCAGGGAAATTCTATAGGCAACTTCCCACTAAAACTGGGCTGGGAAGAGCTAATGCAGTTTCACCTGTGAGAGACACAGAGCAGAGAATTCCAGGCAAAGCCACCGAGGCCCCAAGGCATGAGGCTCATGGGGAGCTGAAGGGAACTTACTTCGTTTAGGATGTGTGGTTATAGAGAAGGCCAAGAGGCATTTGGAGGGGCAGGAGTTGAAGCTGAAAACCCAGCTCTCTCTGTTCCTGGGCCTGAAATTTGAGACTAATGAGAAATAGCAATTATTTGTGAGATTTGAGTTCTGTCTCCCTCTAGAGAATTAAAGAGAGCCGAAGTAGTTACCTGGGCAATTGGGGAAGATTTCCTTTTTCCGGAGAATTTGTGCATTCTAGTTGCATAGGTAGCTATAGCCTTTGATTAAAAGCTTGGGTTGGAGAAGAGATAGAATGAAGGAGGAACTCAGAAAAAAACTTCAACACAATGCTGAAGTTTTTCTGAAATTCAACACAACGCTGAATTGGGTCTCAATGCTCAACCCTTCCACCCTTCACCTTCACTCCAAGCCCAAATTCTGCCAGTCTTTTGAGTCCCAGCTGAAAAGCAGTATCTTTCAAGGAGAATTTTGAGATTCCTGCCCTTACTCCCATCACCATCTCTATGGGGGGTAACTTCCTCTGATCACTCTTGTTGGCTCATCTATTCATCTTTCATTGCTTAATCTTTACATCTTATTTTCTCTTCACACGAAACGTCTCTTGAGGACAGAATTTATTCTTTCTGAAAAAAGTTTTATAATTTTGTCCTCTGTGGTTGTAGCAGCTAAGAACAATTTATTTATTTATTTTTTATCCCTTAACATGTCATGTGTATAGTAGGTTTTCACCCAATACTGAATATGTCCGTAATTTCACTGAAGGTGTTAGGTATTCAATAATTCTCTCTACTTCTTCCCAAACTGGGTTCATTCTAATCACAAGATGTTTTGCAAATCTAGTCTAACAGCCAGAACCCAGCAAAGTGATTTTCTATGCATACTACAAAGGGATATTAATCAAATCCTCTTTTAATTACATACTCTCTAGCACTGCAATATTAAATCATAGGAAATTAAATTTTTGCCATGGGTATACGAAAGCAAGTACATGGAGTCATAGCCACGTGGGGGTGTTTACCACTTGCTTCTCTTCCAGGTTTTGATTACTACTTTGGAATCCCATATAGCCATGACATGGGCTGTACTGATACTCCAGGATACAACCACCCTCCTTGTCCAGCGTGTCCACAGGGTGACGGACCATCAAGGTAATGCTGTCTGACACATTTGTGATAGGCTTCAGGACAAGGCAAAGTCCCAAGAGTGTGGTCCATCAGGAATAAATAAAAGATTCAGACAGGAAATGGCTAAGACAGCAAATAAGGTAGACGGTACATTCTGTGCAAATTTAAATGCGTTATCTGCAGGGAGTGTGAGAAACCTTTCAATGATGAGGTCCACAACATTATTCTATTGAAATTTTCCAGGTTCCTTGGACTATTAAGCTCAGCTGGGGAGAGCCTCGTGCTGCCAGGGTCTCACACATGTGGGGCCTCCCTCCCTCCTCCTCTGCCTGCTGGCTTTGCTTCTAGCCCAGACACTGAACATAAGGAGGGATATAGAGAGGGAAAAAAAGTGCACAGGACCCCTTTTGAGCTTCTCCCACCATGGACAAGTAAGCCAGCATTCTGATACTGGAATACCAAGCAGGCACCAAACAGGATGTTTTGAAAAACATTTAATAAAATGGGAAAATGTTCATGATACAATAGTAAGTGGAAAAAAAAAAAAAGCAGGAAGCAGGTCATCAATAGTAAGATCTTAATGGCTTCTGTAGCCCTATTTTGTAGCCCTATCAACAGAGACTCAAAGGAGTTATGCTTAAAATGTTATCAAGGGAGCTTTCTGGTCCTGGGACTCAGGGTTTTCATTTTTTTTCTTTTTTGTTTTTTTGAGATTAAGTCTTACTCTGTCTCCCAGGCTGGAGTGCAGTGCCGCAGTCTTTCTGCTCACTGCAACCTCTGCCTCCCAGGTTCAAGCAATTCTCCTGCCTCAGCCTCTCGAGTAGCTGGGATTGCAAGGTGCCTGCTACCATACCTGGGTAATTTTTGTATTTTTAGTACCATGTTGGCCAAGCTGGTCTTGAACTCCTGACCTTAGGTGATCTGTGTGCCTCGGCCTCCCAAAGTGCTGGGATTACATGTATGAGCCACCGTACCCAGCCAGGGTTTTCATTTTCTTCTTTCTCATTGTATTTCCTAAATATTTTGTGATATATTTATGATCACAAAAAGATGATAAGCCTTACTCAGGTAATAAAACAGCACAAACCACGTGTTCCCCTTATTCAGACAGTGCACTGTGGTCATTTTAAGGCCACAAGTGTCTGAGCCATTCAGGAAAGGTGAGTCTCAGCTGCTCTATCTATAAAACAATAGTTAATATAATAATGGTTACTTATTGAGAAATTGTTACATTCTAAGCACTGTCCATATTTATCTGTAATCCACATGACCACTGTGTGAAGTAGGTATTTCTTAGGTTGGTACAAAAGTAATTGTGGTTTTTGCCGTTACTTTCAGTGGCAACAACCTCAATTACTTTTGCAGCAACCTGATGCCTGATTTTGTAGCCCAGGATATGGTAGAGCTGGTAAGAGGTGGGAATGGAGATTCCAATCTGGGTTTCTCTGAGTCCAGAGCCCATGCCCTTTCTATCTTTGCTACTCATAATATGGTCACTGAACCAGAATGATGGATATCACCTACATATTTGTTAGAGATGGACAAATTCACACCCCACCCCCAGGTCTGCCTTTTAACAAGACTCATGCCTGCAGTGAGCTATGTTCGCACCACTGCACTTCAGCCTGGGCCACAGAGTAAGATCCAGTCTCAAAAAATAAATTAAAAAAAAAAAAAAACAGGGTTGGGCAGGGGTGGCTCATGCTTGTAATCTCAGCACTTTGGGAGGCTGAGGCAGGCGGATCACGAGATTAGTAGATCTACCCACCTAGGCCTCCCAAAGTGTTGGGATTACAGGCATGAGCCACTGCACCCAGCCTTAATTTTTATCCATGTTAAAAATCTCTTTTTAATCTATGTTAAAAATCCGTGAGTATGAATCCTCCCTAATGTTGCTGAAAAAAAAAAAAATCCAATAAAAGGCAAGGTTCAGTAGGCCACTCCTGTAATCCCAGCACTTTGGGAGGCTGAGGTGGATAGAGTTTGAGACCAGCTTGGTCAACACAGCAAAACCCCATCTCTTCAGAAAATAAAAAAATTAGCCGGGTGTGGTAGCCCGTGCCTGTAGTTCCAGCTACATGGGAGACTGATGTGAGAGGATAGCTTCAGGGGAGGTGGTGGTGAGCTGAGATCATGTCACTGCACTCCAGCCTGGGTGACAGAGCCAGATCCTGTTTCAAAAAAGAAAAAAAAAAATTAAAAAGAAAATAATGAGTGGCTTAGGAGAGAAAAAAAAAAAAGGAAAGAATGTAAATGACTCATGGAGTTGCAATGATTTAATAAAAAACTGAAAAATTCAACATAGATATGAGATTAGTGTTATAATGCCCAGCATGGTGATAATTATTTTCCTCTTTTAAAAAATTTGTGATGCCTGTAATCCCAGCACTTTGGGAGGCCCAGGTGGGCAGATCATTTGAGCTCAGGAGTTCGAGACCAACCTGGCCATGGCAAAACTCCATCTCTACAAAAAATACAAAAATTAGCCGAACACGGCAACACACACCTATAGTCCCAGCTACTCGTGAGGCTGAGCTGGGAGGATTATCTGAGCCCAGGAGTTTGAGACTGCAGTGACCTGAGATTGTGCCACTGCACTTCAGCCTGGGTGACAAAGTGAGACCCTGTGTCAAAAAAAAAAAAAAAAAAAAAAAAAAAAAAAAAAATTGTGGTTTTTGACAATTATCTATGCAGTCTGACCATATCTCCTATATTTCTATAATGGGGTGTGTGTGCATGTAGGTGTGAAGGGGATTTTTGGTTTCTTCACAAATGCGTCCCGGCACTATTAGAACGATGAATTTGCCCAAGAGGATTCCATTTACCACCTGTTCTAGTTTTATTTGGTGACCAGGACTGAGAGCTTGAGTTGTTTTTTTTTTTTGTTTGTTTTTTGTTTTTAATTCCTAATACACTGAAACTGTGTGCAATGCACTAACCATTTATTATCCCTTTTAGACCACCAGCACCCCTGTAAGGATGGCACAGGCCACCCCATGCTACAGATAAGGAGATAACTCTGGGAGCTTAAGTAACTTGCCAGAGATCATGACCAGATCATGACTCAGCCACCTTGATGGGCAGCCATGGCTCAGATTCATTTCAATCTATAAGACCAAATCCTGAGATTGATTTTGTTTGTTTGTTTGCTCGTTTTTTTCTTTCTTTGAGATGGAGTCTCGCTCTGTCACCCAGGCTGGAGTGTAATGGCGCAGTCTCGGCTCACTGCAACCTCCGCCTCCCGGGTTCAAATGATTCTCCTGCCTCAGCCTCTCGAGTGCATCACCACACCCGGCTAATTTTTGTATTTTTAGTAGAGGCAGGGTTTCACCATGTTGGCCAGGCTGGTCTCAAACTCCTGACCTCAAGTGATCTGCCAGCTTTGGCCTCTCGAAGTGCTGGGATCACAGATGTGAGCCACCAAGCCCAGCCTTATATATTCTGTCCTATTTTTATACCTGATAGTACATGAAGTCCTGATTGTGGACTTCTGAAAACGCCAAGTTGCACACCATACCCAGAGGCTGAGATTGAAGTGAGATAGCAGAGAAAGCCAGCAATGGGGCTGTTGATTGGCTGTGGGACTCTGCTTGACATAATTTAGCCTCTTCAGACCTCAGTTTCTCTTTCAGCAAAATGGGAATAACAAAAAACAATGTCCCTAGCTCACAAGAGTCTCTGTAAGCTTTACAGAGGGGTCAGCTTATCCAAGGAGCATAAACATAGGGAATGGAAGAAAGTATTATACATAAACTTTTACACTGGGAGGAAATGGCCAACCAGAAAAATCATTTGTGGCCAGAGTGTTGTATTTATGTGCATGTGTATTGTTGCATTAAGGCATTTAGTTTTCCTCCATGAGTATGTAGGAAATGAATACGGTCTGTGGTTTCCATGCAGGAACCTTCAAAGAGACTGTTACACTGACGTGGCCCTCCCTCTCTATGAAAACCTCAACATTGTGGAGCAGCCAGTGAATTTGAGCAGCCTTGCCCAGAAGTATGCTGAGAAAGCAACCCAGTTCATCCAGCAGGCAAGGTGAGGAGCCTCCCTTCCTTCCCAGTGCCTCCCCCCACTTCCATCTTCCCCTGCACACACATCAGGCACTCTTGAGGCTGTGGCAGAGTTTTGCTGCTCAGCAGAGAGGAATGCATACATGTCTCCTATAAATAAAGCTGGAAAACAGCACCTTCTGGAAATCCCCAGTCCTGGGTTAGAAATTCCTCAGGTAGGCCAGGCACAGAGGCTCATGCCTGTAATCCCAGCACCTTGGGAAGCCGAGGCAGGTGGATCACCTGAGGTCAGGAGTTTGAGACCAGCCTGGCCAACATGGTGAAACCCTGTCTCTACTAAAAATAGAAAATTAGCTGGTTGTGGTGTGGCGTGCCTGTAATCCCAGCTACTGGGGAGACTGAGGCAGGAGAATCGCTTGAACCCCAGAGGTAGAGGTTGCAGTGAGCCGAGATCACACCATTGCACTCCAGCCTGGAAAACAAGAGTGAAACTCCATCTCAAAAAAAAAAAAAAAAAGAAATTCCTCAGGTATGTTCCTGGAGTCCCTGGGGCTTATCGCTGTTGCTTTGATCATTTCAGTCATGTTACACTGTCATGATCATTTTGTCCTCTCCTTCTAGGGTATAAGCTCCTCAAGGGTGGGGCCCGCCCACTGTACTCTGGGCACTCAAGGCAACCTCCGCCTCCCCGGTTCAAATGATTCTACTGCCTCAGCCTCCTGAGTAGCTGGGATTACAGGTGTGCATCACCGCACCCGGCTAATTTTTGTATTTTTAGTAGAGGCAGGGTTTCACCATGTTGGCCAGGCTGGTCTCAAACTCCTGACCTCAAGTGATCTGCCAGCTTTGGCCTCTCAAAGTACTGGGATCACAGATGTGAGCCACCAAGCCCAGCCTTATATATTCTGTCCTATTTTTATACCTGATATTACATGAAGTCCCAATTGTGGACTTCAGAAAACGCCAAGTTGCACACCATACCCAGAGGCTGAGATTGAAGTGAGATAGCAGAGAAAGCCAGCAGGCAGGGTGTACGACTTTTCTATTGCTGCTGTAACAACCAACCACTAATTTAGTAGCTAAAACAACCATAACTTATTTTCCTACAGATCTAGAGGCCAAATGTCTAAAATGAGTCTTAGGGGACTAAAATCAAGGCGTCAGAGGGCTGTTTTCTAGGGGAGTCTCTAGGGGAAAATCTCTCCCTTGCCTTTTCCAGCTTCTGGCATCTCTAAGCTATGGCCATATCGTTCTCACCCCGAATTCTGTTGTTCACTGACCATTTTCTCTTTAGCCAAATCTCCCCTCTGGCTCCCACTTATAACTGCACTTGTGACTGCATTTAGGGTCCACCAGGAGAATCCAAGGTGATTCCCCTACCTCCAGATCCTTAACATAATTCCACCTGAAAAGTCCCTTTTTCCGTATAAGTTAACGTTCACAGACTCCAGGAATTAGAACCTGTGTATCTTTGGGAACTGTCCTTCATTCTATCAGACAGAAGTTACCAATTCCAGCATCTAGAAGGCACAGATAAGTAACCTTAAAGAGGGAAGGAAGCAGGATGAACGTAGAGCATTAGGGAGTGGTGGGGTCTGCAGAGAACCCATAGCACCTGGCCCATCTACAGAGGGCAGCTACTACCTTGCTCCAGCTGCTTGTTGCTTCTTTGTGAAAATGTGAACCTGGAATATCAGATCTTTTCATGTTACAAGAGAAATAGGATACCTGGCTTTTGTGTGAAATCTCCTGATCTTGAAATATTAGAAACTACTAATTAACAAAAAGCCAAACGTGGTAGCTTACATCTATAATCCCAGCACTTTGGGAGGCTGAGGTGGGCAGATTGCTTGAGTCTAGGAGTTCAAGACCAGCTTGGGCAACATGGTGAAACCCTGTTGCTACAAGCAATACAAAAATGAGCTGGGCATGGTGATGTGTACATGTTGCTCCAGCTACTCAGGAGGCTTAGGAGGCTTGAGCCTGGGAGGCATAGGTTGCAATGAGCCAAGAACGTGTCACTGAATTCCAGCCTGGGTGACAGAGCGAGACCCTGTCTCAAAAAAATAAAATGTAAAATCAAATAAAAGTAAATAAGAATAACAAAAAGTGGGCTGGGTATAGTGGCTCACACCTATAACCCTAGTGCTTTGGGATGACACTTCCAGGTGGGAAGATTGTTCAAGGCCAGGAATTTCAGACCAGCCTGGACAACATGGTGAGACCTCATCTTTACAAAAAAATTTTTTAAATGGTTGGGCACAGCAACTCACGTCAATAATCCCAGCACTTTGGGAGGCCGAGGCTGGCAGATCACCTGAGTTCAGGAGTTTAAGACCAGCCTGGCCAACATGGTGAAATCTCATGTTTACTAAAAATACAAAAATTAGCTGGGTGTGGTGGCACGCACCTGTAGTCCCAGCTACTTTGGAGGCTGAGGCAGCAGAATTGCATGAACCCAGGAAGCAGAGGTTGCTGTGACCTGAGATCGTGCCACTGCACTCCAGCCTGGGTGACACAGCAAAACTCTGTCTCAAAAAAAAAATTGATAAAATTTTTTAAATAGCTGAGCATAGTGGTGTGAATCTGTAGTGCCACCTAACTCGGGAGGCTGAACTGGGGGAATCACTTGAGTCCAGGAGTTCAGGGTTGCAATGAGCCATAATCGCATCGCTGGACTCCAGCCTAGGTAACACATTGAGATCCTGTCTCTTAAAAAAAAAACCCCAAATCCCAAAAACAAAAAAGCAAAAACAAAACCATACCACATTGTATCTCTAACAAATCATATATATGTGAGGGTTGCTGGCTTACAACCTCGGTCAGATGTCAGGCAAAGAATGGATGTTGTGAAATAATGGACGACTCCCAAATTGTGCACATATCTGGAGTGCACACCTATAGACCTTGGTGTGCAGGTGGATACACACACGTACACGCACACATGCACACAACAATCACCCTCCCCGCCCCCTTCATAACTGCTTTGTGCTGCCCTCTGATGATCCCAAATATGTTCATCTGATCTTCCTCCCAGGATTACACTCCCCGAGGATGATGGGCTCCTGGAAACTGGGCGTTATCTACAGCCTTAGCCTAGGCGGGCCAGGAAACACGTGCTGCATGGCTGTCCACTTGGGCAGAATTTAAAAGGGACTACCTGTGGCTAAGTGATCACAGCAGCCCACTGAATATACAGGAATCCCCCACCTCTCGATCAGCCACATTGGACTTTTTTTTTTTTTTTTTTTTTTTTTTTTTGAGGCAAAATCTCGCTCTGTCACCCAGGCTGGAATGCAGTGGAGCAATCTCAGCTCACTGCAACCTCCACCTCCTGAGTTCATGTGATTCTCCTGCCTCAGCCTCCTGAGTAGCTGGGATTACAGGCATCTGCCACCACATCTGGCTAATTTTTGTATTTTTAGTAGAGACAGGGGTTTCACCATGTTGGCCTGGCTGGTCTCAAACTCCTGGCCTCAGGTGATCCGCTTGCTTCGAACTTCGAAAGTGCTGGGATTACAGGCATTAGCCACCGTGCCCGGCCCACATTGGACTTTTTTAGAGAGAAGCTCAACAGGGAGGGTAGAGGCAGCAATGCAGGAGATCCAGGCATCCTTTTTCTTGGTAATAAAATCTATTAAGGTCTTCATCTCAAAAGCAGCTCCTAAGGGCTTCAGAGATTACACCTTAGGGGTTTTTCAGGACCTTCTGAGTTTCTGTAAAACTGTCTTTTTATTTTAGATTGTTGATAGTAGAAAGGGCAGAGCCTCTTCTCCCATCTGAAGGGTTGAGGGTCTCCCAGCTCCCTGCATCTTTGGGATGGTTTCAGGCCCCTGTGCCCCATGACATGTGGATGCTTCAAGGCTGCTGGGGACAGTCTTTTCTGCTTTTGCAGTGAATCGAACAACACTGTGTTCTTAGGAGAAGGAATGGGGACTCCGGGGTGTTTAACACTTGCTTTGAAGTGGGCATGGGGCCAGGACATCCACCCATTAATTAGTCAGTTAAAAGGCAACTCAACCAACAGCCTCTTTATTGTACATAAAAGGGGAGCACTTTGTTAATTCATCAACTGGTTATTAAGTGAAAAGTCACGAGTCCTGTTGGCATTTAACTTTACCGAAGGAAATCCTCAGAAATACTGGTTTCTTTGGGATTGCCACGTGCCAAATGATTTTCTGAGCGTTAGCAGAAAAGACCCGCAGGTCCGTGCCCATCTTCCTCCATGACTTCGTCTCCTGCCTCAAGCCCCTCCCCCAACTGGGACCTGTTTGTCAAACCCACCAGGTATCCCTTGCGTGTGGCTTCTGGCTCTTCCTTGGCAAGGGGGGCCACCCTAGGGCTTAGGAAGTTTTTACTTGGGTCTTTAGTTGGCTTTAGTGTCTTACCCAAGGCTCTCAACATAGTACTTGAGTATCACTGCTGGTCATTCAGTTTAGTTGACTTTAGCCCCTTAATCTGGTGGCAATGCTGAATGCTAATGCTTGATTTTAGCTTTTTAAGCAGAAGGCAGAGCTCTGAATAGGACAAAGGAGCGGGTAGAAGGCATGGGGTCCTAGATCCCAGAGCTAGCTGGGCCTCTGTTCCCTATGAGGTCTGGGACTGCATTGCACCTACAGGGAACACAGGGCTTGATAAGCAGGAGTGTATCGGGCATCCGGGTGAGCAGCAGCCCAGGATGTCTGAAATCAGACATTTCTCTCTTTTTTTTTTTTCTTGAGACTGAGTCACTCACTCTTACTGCCCAGGCTAGAATGCAGTGGCGCGATCTCGACTCACTGCAACCTCTGCCTCCCGGGTTTAAGCAATTCTCTTTCCTCAGCCTCCTGAGCAGCTGGGATTACAGGTGAGTGCCACTACACCTGGCTATTTTTTGTATTTTTTTAGTAGAGACAGGGTTTCACCGTGTTGGCCAAGCTTGTCTCAAACTCCCAACTTCAACTGATCCACTCGCCTCGGTCTCCCAAAGTGTCGGGATTACAAGTGTGAGCCACTGCACCTGGTCTGAAATCAAACATTTTAAAC